GGCTGCCATGCCAGGGCTGCTCTTGAGGCTTTCGGGGTTCTTGGCACTCCCTGATGTCTCGTGCTTCACTGGGCTCAGGGGCTCCTCCCCTGAGCTCGGCTCACTGCCTCGAAGATTTGCGTTGGTTTCCTCGCACACTTCACACCCGCAGGACTTGCCAACATTGAAGATGTACCAAGATCCCATCTCCTTCACACAGGAAAGGCCACAATTGCAGTACACAAAGTTGTGCCAAGTCGTGTTCGAGCTTGGAGATGCTGCTAGAGGAGCAGCTTGCTCGTTTTGTGCTGGCACTGGCAGGGCATCTTCAGCGGCAGCGGCCAGAAGCAACAAGGAAAGAATGCGAAGGGCCATGACGCACTTTGAAACTCAAAGTTCTTGAAGAGCCAAATGCTGAAACTTGCCAAGAGAACCATGAACCCTACATGGTTGGCAATCCCTCAAGCTCCTCAAAGGGTAATAGAGGAAATGCAGCAACTATCTGCTATCTATACAATGTATACATATATATATATATATGTACATATCGTCAGCCAGGTACAGCAAAGCCACACCCACAAAACGTCTCAGATTTGGAAACAAAGCAAATCCGCCCTTACCCAAGGGTGAGCCCTTTCCTCGATAGATATGAAAATCGACACGCCCGAGCCTGTCTCGGGATGACCAGGAAAAAACAGTGCCCCCACAGAAACTCTTTTCGAACCGTGGCCACCTTCACACCCCACGCAGCCCAAAACCACCCGCAGCCAGTCTCACCTTGGACCCATGGCCCGACCTTCGATTGGGCTCCCGTCGCGGCACCCGTCGCTGCGCGAGTCTTCCGCCCACTCCAATGCCGCCGAAAAAGGTCGATTCCGCAGCGACGTCCTCCTGTGGCTTGTAGCCAAAGCCATCTCGTCCATAGTCATAAAATTCGTCGGCTTTTCCAAAGATGTGCACCTCGCGAAGTGAACCAGTTCCACACGGAACCAGAAGAAAGAATTGGAAGAATTGGTACTGTACCTTTTGGCCTGAAATGCTTCCAGGACAAATCCCACAAACACCTGGCTTTAGAACCGTGGTGAAGCCAACCACCGCCTCTTATCATTCAATCCTTCCAGCCAAAACACGAGGTCAACAGTCGCCAGAACGGCCGCACCGTTCCGCACTCAAGAAAAACCCAGAAACCTCAGAATCTCTTCCTCGCCCTCCGTCCGGGGCCCCCGGCGGTGGGATGCGGCGAAGGCGTCTCGAAGAGGTGCATGTAGTCCTCACTCGAGGGGTCCACGGCTGCCCGACGGGAGCGACCGCGTTCTGGGCCGGGGCCGTTCCACCGCGGGGCGACCGAAAGGAAGACCCGAAATCCAAGCACCGTTCGCCCAAGTAGCTTCTTGATCCTTGTTACTAGTAGCTAAGACTTGACTGCTGGCAGACATACTGGGCGCGCACCTCACAGCACCCCCGAAGCCACCCATTTGGTCACCCAGAACCCCCCGAACGACGCGACGGTGGGACGATTGGACTGACGTCGCTCGGAGACCCTTCGAGATGCCGCTCCTGGTCCCGGATGTGCATTCCATTGAAGAAGACCTGAGGACGATTGGCGCACGCGGTCGGTCGGATGATTGGTGGCACAGCTGTTGGGTTTGTCATGCCCAACTAGGTGTTGAAACCTTCTCAAGTACCGTTGAATGAAGAAAGAAACATCCTGCATTGGCAATGCAGGAGATATGCATCATCCAACTAGTTCAACTTACCCGGTTCGACAGCTTCCCTGCTCTGGGCATCGCTCAAGTACAAGACACCAACACTTCACCACCGATAGTAACTAAACTCACACCCTTGCCTTCTCTCCTCATGAACCATTGTTCACGCCTGGGAAAAGTTCTCAGAACGTTAAGGGACAATTTGCTTAGTGGAAGGTCTCCGGCATGCGCTCCATCTCCACACAAGATCCACCTAGATACCACATCTCAGACCCAGTCAACCCAGACTGTCGCTCGCACCAAATAGCTGCAAGGCAAGCTCAGACCAAAATGGTAGAAATGACATTAGACACATCATGATAGTCTAAACGGGCGTGCCTTTCCCCAAGTGGCCATTTTGTGGGAAAGGTAATATCGATCCGTTTGCGTTGAAATCACGTCAACCTGGTGCAGCACATCTCACATCTTCCACATCCAAGCATCGCTCAGGCGCCAGGGCATCTCCTCCGGGGAATTCCGTGTGTGGTGTCACCGCTTCGCCTCGCACGCCAAAAAGCGGCCCGTGTTGCGCTGTTGACTGTTGATTAGCTTAAAAGAATTGATGATAATAATAACAATAACGATACAGAGTACTAGAACCTGCAGATGTTCTACCATCTGTAGGTAGGATTGTTCTATTCATCAACTGCTACCCATGATTGGATCAGATCCCATCACTTTCTGAGCCCACCCTCAGGGCGGGTCGTCCGTGCAAACCCGAGTGCCCCTTTGGCAAGAGGACCCTCTCCTCTAAAGGCACCGGAGAGATCAAAGATCAAACACTCTTACAGCAATTCGCAATTTGCGTCCTTTTCAGAAAATTCAAAAAAACATAAGAAGAAAACAGTATATACAGAATGTCCTTTTGTATTTCTGGACTTTCGAAAGCTTCGCGATCGAGCGACCGACTGGCCTTCTGTGCTGAAGGATCCTCCTTCCGCAAGTGGCCGATCAAGAGGTGCATCATAATACAGCCCTGGACCAGTGACAGTGCGTTCATGGCGTGGTTCCTTTGGTCGAATGTGAGGCCCTAAGAGTTTGACTGGCATAGAACCTGAAAAGTCTTGGGTATGAGCTGGAGAACGAAGCACATCCCAATGGTTTTGAGAGTCTGATACTTTGTCCAATGGTTTTGTGGAAGTCGAGGCAGCCTCCTCCATTCAGTTGGCATCCGAAGCAGTGCAAAGTCAAGAAAATCCTGTGAACCTTTCAGTTTTCAAAACATGTAGTAGTAACAGGTGCCACGCTAGTAGTAACAGGTGCCTTACTAGTAGTAACAAGAAGCTATTACAAACAAGAACAAGGAGATGAAAGGATTTGGAGGGTGGTGTCGTGGTGTCGTGGTGCCGTACTCTGAAACATACTGTACCTATCTGTGTCCACGCACGTCTCCACGCACGTGTCGTCGCGTGGTCTGGGCCTGGGAGAAAGCCACGACGACATCAAAGGGGCCCTCCTCGAAGATCAACTCCTCCCAACCCAGCACTCTGCAGGCTACAGACTGCGCTGCAGGCTGTGCTCTGATCCAAATTCCAACGTCGCCCTTCAAGTCATTCAGGTCCAAGTCCCCCGTCTCACGGGCCGTGACTCCGTGTCGAGGAACGCGACGTTCGTCCACGAGCGACGAACGTCGTAAGGCACCAAACGATCCCATCGTAGTTTCTTGCTGGCAGCCCAGTTCCGGCACTCCAAACGATCCCATCCCTCTCTCTCTCTCTCTCGTCTGAGCCCTTGTGATGGTTTCTTTCTCTGCCATGTGCCATGACCTCGGACTCCCCGGCCTTCAGCTTCTCCACTTTCTCAGGAATCTTGTGGTACCTGGGGATCGGAGACGGCCGTTCAGGGTTATGGAGGTTGCGAGGCGCGGAGAAACTGGAGTTCGCTTCAGTGCGAAAGGAAGTCTTCCAGCCTCGAAGCTCGCCATTCACTCAGGAAGCATAGGATTTGAGCCTACCTCTTGCACCTCTTAGCCCGAATTGGACACAATACAACTGACATGTTGCATCCCCCACAAATTCAACTCCTTTTCGTGGGAGAAATTGCTTGAGTGCCTTTTTGGGCAACTAAGTGATCCTTTCTTTGTTGGCATGTCTCTTTTCGGCGCAATCTCCAAAGCACATCAAGAGCAAGCAGTAGGAAGCAAACTATGTGGCTGGTAGTCGTGCGCATACCCCACGATACCTCCAAAAGCCCATCAAGTCAGAGCTCTTCAAGCTCCTTCCCCTCAGCCTGGCTCAACCCACTACCGCCACCGAGCTGCACTACACCTTGGCCAGCGAGCTTGCCCAATCAGGTGAGTGCGGGGCATGGGGCGTTGTTCGGGTCCCACCAGGTCATACCGGACGAATCAAACCTTCCTCCCCATAGATGGTCAAGCATCAAACATCTCCAGATCTGAGGTTTATTGATCAACTAGTCAACATGTCACTGCTTCAAGGATAACAGTTTCCGGGACATGGTTTTGAGTTGCCTGCCGCTCGGGAGCCCCAACCACACCGAGATCTCGCCATCGCCCCAATCGAGGACCCAAAGTCGACGGATCCGGCAACAGCGTTGTTTCTCCCGGCCGCAAGGAATCGACCACATAGAAATAGGAATCAAATGACCTCTCCAAAGAAATAGGGGCCCTTCAGCCTGGAAGCTGACATGGAACAGAACGTGCTGAAACCACAAGTTGTCGTTGGATTGTCCTCCATTGATAAAAACAGAACCCCTTCGTTTTGACACGATCTCACCCAGCCAGGCACTGCGCTTACACTCAGTGCGCTACGGGAAGCGGGGTCGAACTGCTTCTCGCGATTGGGCTTCTCCGTAGGTGTGGCCTCGATGCCGCGTCTCATCAGCCCTTTGAGGCAACTTGTTGGTCCAACACCACATCACTCAACAAACTAAAGATGGGGGACTCCGTTGATGGATCACCTACTATGTTTGGGCACACATGGCACACATGGCACGCAGGATGGGGGTGCCAAATGCTTGATGGCTGCATCACTTCAAAAGAGATCCATGGCCCATCCGTTCAACGAGTTGAAACGCAACTCAGGTCCGAGACCACCCACTACCGTTGCCTTCTTCTACTCTAGGAGGATGGTACCAGCACAAATCTTGGTCCAGCAAGCTAGCCATACCAGATCAGCCGCCCTGGAGACCAAAAAAGGAAGCGGTGGCAGGTTTTCTGGCACCATTGCTGTCTTTCTCCAAGAAGTCGAAATGGCATTGACAAATTGACGGGGGCATTGTGGTTTGAAAAAACAATAGAAAGCCTTAGCGTACGGCGTACGCACAAGGAATGCCTGGCATGCACTCATTTAGCCTCAAATAGCCACCCCTTTGCAACTCCTGGGTTCTGGGCGCACAAACAAATGTTCCCAAAGACATGTTCTCCAATTCCAGGTCAAGCCGAGCCCATCGCCCACATGTTGGGACCCTACAACAGCACTGCCCAACCCAGGGTCTCAAAGACCCCCAAAAGATCCGTTGATGAATCAAACCCCTCCCATTTGGATGCACGCACCACCTCGCGGGCGCTTCGCCTCCACACAACCCCCCACTGTCGCATGACGGATCGGGACGACCCGGCCTCGGTGATCGAGTCCATGTACCAATTCTTGAGCTGTGCTCCTGTCGGTGACGGTGAGTCGGACGAGGAGTCGAGCTCCGGTGGGGAGCCGGTGGGGAGCGGGATGGACCAGGTTGGTGGGAAGGAAGGCACAACTTCACCGCTTCGTCCGAATGTTTGTGACGCAGCCTCACATCCGTCAGTGAGGTTGTGATCACCCAGGAAACCATGCAAACCGTACAAGAAACCATGCAAATGACATACCAGGAATGACTCCTCCGTTGCAAACAAGCCAGGTACAGCCGTGGCCATTGGTGACACATTGCCAGCAGTCCAACCGAAGCATCTTCGCCAGCCGGAAAGTTGAGTTCCAGGAGATCTCCAAACATTTCATCTCCCGCTGACACTCACCTGGAATCTCGAAAGTGGGCCCTCGCTTTGCCCCACCACCCATGGCTGCCATCACGCTTGACCGACCTGAAAACACTCGACCAATGTTGGTCATCGAGCTCCTATGATGAGTGGAGCCTGATATACTATAAAGTGCTTCTGAAGACCAGTTCTTCACCCAAGCGGGGCTGCCGCCCCAGTATTCAGCTGGGCGGGTCGCAAACACGCCTGGCCTTTGGCCAAGGTCTTCTCCATGTCGCTCACAATGGGCTCCCCTTCAAACCTCGGAGAAGCTTTTTCAGACGTCCGAAAGCGCGAAACCGTCGTGTGCCATCCACCTTTGGCATGTCCACGGCTTCTCTTGGCGCGTTGAGTGTCAAAACAAAAGATAGGAAGTAAGTCTTTAACTTGTGTGTTCACTATGGTTCCACGGCGACAAGTTGGATCAGACTTGTTCCAGGAAGCAGAAAAAGTGGCTGAACTGGGTTTGTGCCATCTAGGTTGAACTTGCAGGATTGAAATTCTTGTGAAAACGTTCTCAGTGCCTGCATAAGACGTGTAACCCAAATACCTTACAACCATGGTCATCACCCAACCTATGCCTCATTGGTCTTGAGTCTAAATAACGTGGGGATTGATGATTAACATGTTCGAGCCTCTTTGGCCCTAAGATTCCACCTTTGATGTTTCATGATGTTTCTTTGTTTGTGTGAGATCTAAGAACACGGTCAATCCCCATGAAGTCTGACGGACACGGTCAATATACCAACCCGAACATGATCCCAACCGAACCTCGGCTACGTGATCCCTCCTCCACGTGTCGTCGCTTGGGTTCGATGTCGACTCGTCGAGTCACGAAAAAAGAGGTCGTACTGATGGCCGCCCAGCGGCAGGTTCAACCATGTGGGAAACACCACTTCGAACGGCTTGGGTTCCAAGAGCTTTCACCGTTCAGCTCCAAAGCCCAAGCCAGAGCCCAGTAGGGCCGCCAAGGCCGCACCGCAGGTCCGGGGCTTCGCACCAGTTCCAATCCTCAGTGCCCTCAATATAGGTCCACTCCTTCGCGGAACGCGGTCGGTCGCCATCCCTCCTCCGGGAATTGGTCCGGTCTGGAAGTGGCAGGCGTGCTTCGGAGGGAGGGAGAGTGAGGGAGAGACGTTCATCCGTCATCACTTAGATTAACACAGATTGTGGTTTGTCCGAGACAGTTGATATCTCTTAGCGCCATCAGTTTGGACTTTTCTGGGGCTCCACACGCAGGCGTCTCGCCCCAAGGCCTGCTGCAAGTTGGCGCACTGGAAGCGGAGAACCTCCGTGCAGCTGTGGCCTCCAGGCGCAGCGCACGAAGACCGAGCAGTGGCGGGGGAGAACGATTGGCCTTGTGGCCTTTCGGGGGGCGGGGTTGAGAAAGCCCACACAAACAGAACACAACAGAACGAAGGAATGAACCTTTGAAGTGTTAAGACCATATGTGAGGACTGTGTTTGTGAGGAGTAATGTAGACTCTCGGTCAATAAAGTTTCACAAAGCCCAAGAAAGAAACCAACAGCTGGGGCGCTTTGAAGGCTACCTTTTTTGTTTCTACATACCAAGGAATTCATCAGTTCTTGAAGGTGTGGAAGGCATGAAATGGAGGCCAAGACCCTCTGCTGGCACCTCCAGTGAGTGCCAAAACCCGCAGCTTCCGGGGTACCATCCTCAGTGCTCCGGGGTCGCGTCCAAGAGATATTGAGAGACCTGAAGTGGGTATGGGATGGGCTATAGGCTATAGGGCTGGTCAACCTCTCTTTCCAGTTCTTTCGCAGAGATGAAGTGTCACCTAAATCGCTGGGAAGAAGACCTGGAGCGACAAAACCATCAATTAACTCCCTGGCGCGCCGTCTGTGCATGTTCGGTGGTCAACCAGTGTCTGGGATTTTGAGCCGTAACCAAATCAAGATCCCCAGCAGAGTTTCCACGACCCTCCAGCTCCTTCATTGCAAGACATGAGTCCTGGAGCTCCGCCACTTGGCAGCCCATGAAATGGTACTGCAGGCAGATAAAAAGAAGTCAAAGCACCAGCCCAAAACACAACTCAAGACAATCCAACTGGTTGTTTACTCCTGGGAACACCTACCCTCATCGAACTATGGCTGGTCAAAGCCACCCGAAACCATTCTAGATGAACATCCCAAGCTCAGGCGTGTATTGGTGCATTCCTGTAGGTTGCAGAACCCAGTGTGCCGGTTGAAAACATGAACCTCAGTTTTTCCACCCGAAGAGGTCTGTTCCTCCCAGGCCTGGACCTGGGTGTGGATGACATGCATCGGAAGAAATCCCCCTCTCTCGCTGGTCAACTCCAAGGAGCAACTCCATCTCCAGCAGGGGCGGCGACAAGGGCTTCAGCGGCCGGGAGGTCCGCAGCCAGCGGTGTAGATCCGAGGTGCCATCTGAACGTGGCACGCGGTACCACGGTGGCTGAGGGAATGATCAAACGGCCAACTGGGAAATACTCAAAAAAAGTCACAGGTCCATAAGGAACACCTCAATTGGGTGAAGGAAAAGAGTCTTCAAGGAAAGTCATGCGCCTTGTCTACCTCTGACCTCTCCCAGCAGGAACCCCTGCAACCAGAATTTAGCGCCTTGCACCAGCCGGCCACAGCAGTTGCGCACCTCACGCGCCACCCGCGTGTAGAGGGCTCCTGTCGCAGACTGTTGGACCCAACCTCGGACCACCTCTGAAGCCTCCGGCTCAGCCACTCCGGCTCAGTGCTCCGCGCCCGAGGATCTCCTGCTTCTGGCTGCAGTTGGGGCAGGCGATGGCCCTCGACGTGCTCCAAGACCAGTGGTGCCTGGCAGGGTCTCTTCAGACCCGAAGCCAGGCCGAGATCAGCCGAAAAAAGAGCCGAACTTGGAAGCAGGGGATGATGGAATGATGCTGACTGGATGATGCCCTGATGTGGTTCTTTGTGCAAGTCAAGTAATGCTGGGGAGTGGAGATCAATTGAGGGCATGTATGTCGTGGCAAAACAATGATATGTTGGCATAATGATGCTGTTATTTCACTTTAGCTTTGTGTTGCCAAAGTGAATCCAATCAAAACCCACCTCGTAGTAATCCTCCGGCGCCATCATGCCAGCAGCCCTGGAACAGCGGAGATTGACTGGTTGGCATCCGACCAGACTCTTTGGGTCAGGTGTAGACATCCACTGCATGAAACTTCGTATAATCATGGTTCCGATAGGCTGAGGCTGCCACAAGATTGATATGACAGACCGGGACAAACCTATGATCTGCCCTGCATCTGGCTTCATGCACGCGGGATCAACTTCCAGTGTTCACGACCGCTGCAGAAGCCCAGCAAGGGCATGTTGAGTCCTTCGCTCGTTGAAAAGCCTCTCCCCCCAGGGAGGTGCCCCCATTGGTTCAAGCGAAAGGAGAGATACAGTTTATAGAAGAAAGATGAGGAATATAATGTTGACTGTCGATTATAAACCTCGTTTGCCCAGACAGGTATGAGAGCGTCAGAGCTTTCTTGACCAACCGTCAACATCTGTCTGCTTTTGACCAGTGGACTCAGAAAGCAAGAAACTATATACTCCAAAGCAGCGACAAACCAAATCTGGTCTTTCCTTTTTATACAATCACATACCCCTCAATAAACCCCGCTCTCCTGTTTTCCCTGTTGGAGCTCATTTACCTTGGACCCCCACCTACGACCAGATCCCCCACCTACGGCCATAGTGGTAGTACTCGTCATTGCGGCCAAAGACATGGATGCTGGCATGCTTGGCCTTACCGCTCTGGCTTTGGGCGTGAGGTGAATCAAACACCGGTCCCAACGACACCAATTACGGAAGCTACACCGGAAACGAATTTCTTTCTCGGGATGGGCAGTGATGGCTGCTTATGGCGATAGGCCAATGAAACATGACCGGAAAACGGTCGTAAAATGAACCTAACAGGCGGGAACAAAAGACCAATCCTAGGCCAGTCATGGGTCCCATGATTGGTGATCCAACCCAAAGAAGGAACAATACAACTTACCCACAAGGTGGAATATGAACAGTGCATCATTGGCCATGGGTCATGGCGCCAACTGTTGTGTCAAATCCTGTACTTCACACCACAAGAGCTGGATCTTCAGGCAAACGAAACCTGCCTCAGGCACAGGTGCCGGCAACAACGACACCCCTCCGTCCAAGGCCCCGAAACCTTGGCGTTGTCAAAGGCGGAGGCCCAGCGCGCCTGAGAAGACCAAGCCCAAGGAAATCCAAGCCGAAAGAAGCCAGACGAGCGACGGGGTGTTGGGAAGGTTCCGATTCTGTTCTGATGACCCTCCAGAATTCGGAGGCTCATGGGTTTCGGGAGGCTCATCATCCGAACGATTTATATAAACTATACTCGTCTCTGGACCGCCTGAGAAGGGGTTCACCGTGCTCGTGACCCTGCAAGATAAACTCCAGGCAACCACGACCACAAAGAAACGCGACTCCTGCTATGTACAATTTCTTGGCAGAGAGATTCCTTCTTTCTTTGCTTACAAGCTGTACACTGTAGCTCAAGTCTTATGTACCGTGCCAACCTATAGCCTCCAACCACCCTTGCAGACTGTACCTTGCAATACTCCGCCTTCACAAAATGCTCTCCTTCCATCTCCTTCCCTCCTTCCTGGTCCCAGCAGCATCACGAATTGGCAGATCCCCGAAGAAGACACTCACGGGCCAGGGCAACGTTGCCCCGTCGAGGAGCAGCCGCGCGGCGGCCAAGTGCACCACCTCAACTCCAAAGAAGCGGCGGTCGGACGGAGTGGTTCCCGTTTTAAAAACCGAGATTCCCCATATGGCCCAACATCACATGTGGAGCTGGAGAAAGATCACGGCAGAAGGAACAGCACACACAGGCACCGCCACCCGCCCCCAGCGCTGCCCAGATGCAATGCAACCCTCAAAGAGGCCCACCACCTTGGGTCGCTTCCACAAGAAACCGAGGGCCGAGAACTCGATGTGCGAATTCTCGTTCCGGCGCTGTGTTTCCTCCCGAGAACGAAAAAACATCACCAACCCGGGGCCATGGAACGAGTTCGGAAGCGGACCGAACTCGGCCACCCGAGTCGCTCCCACCGTGTTTCCAAGACGCCGTTAGTAGGGAAGTGGATGGGAGTGGGTGAAGTCGAGACGAAAGAAATGGCTTCACACCATCTGGTGGACGCTTGGACCAACACTTTCTGAGCCAATGAACCGCTTGGATGGTCATTTGATGCCAACTTGCGAGAGTCTCTGAGGGATCACTCCTTTCGAAGTACAAGTGACCGCGTGTGAGTTTTGTACCAGTATGAATCCTGTGTCCCTTGTCCTGGGAGGTCTACTGCCTCTCTCTCTCTCTTCGTGATTCTGGTTGCAATGTGTGTCCAAATGCCATAGGTTTCCATCCAAGACAGGGCCCAGCAGGGGAGAGATCCTCAAAGCTAGTCTTTTGGACTGGCTGAACTGAGCTGAGCTGAAGTGCCTGGGGAGCGTCTTAGCTTCAGGGCACCAACTTTGGTAATCATGGTGCGTTTGCAGTCAAACTCTTGCTGCGTTTGAGATTGCTTGTTCAGTGCTAGAAAGGGATGTTCCTTGTATATAGTTATGGCATGTTCCCACTCTAAAAAAAATGTAAAAAGGTGTCTTTTGTTCATCCTGTGTGGTCCACTGGGTCGGCCCCCCCTTCCATGAGCAAACATGCTAAGAGCAGCTGCGTCCACGCGGCTCCTTTCTGATCCAAGCAACCGCGTCCACAGGCTCTTGAGTCACCCTCTGAAGCAAGGCATCCACCGCGCCTTCAACACCCTCGTAGGACACGCAAACACCTGCGCCGGTTGTTTACGGCTGCTTGGAAGGAGAGTCTTCAAGCGGTCGATGTGGCTGGCGTTCAGACCACAAGTTGGAGGGTGGGCTTTCCACCTTCGCTCATGTGCGGACGGGCACCTGGGTCTTGCTGCTTGTAGAGATCAGGACGCTCCTTGGTCGTTTCTGCGGACACGGTTGTTTCGCTGGTGGAACGCACATGATGTGAGACCCACTGCAACAACCATGAGCTTGACCAAAAAAGGGACTCATTTGGACCAAGGCGCACGTGGATCATCGGTGGTGTGATTAAACCACACCTATGCAGACGTTGAAAATGCCAGAAAGCAGGTGGCACAAACCAGAGCACATCAAACAACTCTGATCCACAAGGCAGCGAACTTCACAACTTCACCCCTCCGACAAGCTTGATTGTTCCTCGAATGCTCAAATTTTGGCGTGGAACACGAAAACGAAGCATGGTGATTCCACCAAAACCATCACCATCGATCACCATCGCGGCCGAAGGTTCCAAGCAGCTCGACTCACGAATTCGCACCTTGAAGTCTTTGCCCTTGGACAAGTTCACCGACATGGGGTCAGCATCGTGCAGGTCTACTCCAGGCCGATAGGCCCAGGTCACGTCGCCCTCTAGGAACTCAAAGTCCGTGTCCTGGGACGCCGGGATGCCGTCACGTTACAAAACGAATGGAAACGAGTCGCAGGAAACCCTCTAAGACCATAGTTGCTACCAAACCCGAAGGGCCCGAAGGGTAGGAATGTCCTCCTTGAAGCACAGCAAATCAGCATAGCTATGCACTGCATTGTGGCATTGTGAAGCACCACCTCTTCAACTGCTCCGTATAGACTTGTCACGTGCACTGGGTCCCAAGAGGATGAGTTGCCACTTTCTCCAGCTGTTCTCGCCACCACCCAAACCATTTGCCAGTGAAATCCGCCCCACCCGCCCACCCAACCCTCCGTCGCGGTCACCTGTCACCGAAACCGCCTTTCAACCGCCCTTTCGGAGACGGTCTCCGAAACGTCTCCGAAACGTCTCCTTCCCAAAGGCCGTCTTCAAGCCACTGATCCTCGGAAGGTCCGGTGCAAAGAGCGGGGCCGACCCGACCGAGCGGTGCCACCGGGTAAGGGGGGTACACAGGTACACATGTGCCGCGCCAACAAAAACGCGGGGAGAATGACGACTGTGCTAAAGCCAATGAAATGCGGATGGACTATGTGGAAACCCATTGGCAAAAATGGCAGAACCACATTGATTAGCAGTTCCTTGCTTCAATGAACTCCCCATCCATCATATTGGCTCAACGCAGGTGAGGCATACCAACGCTTTCAATAGATTCAATAGACGCATCAACTCATCAACGGTTTCACGAGCGGCCCATGTGTCACCATGACCTGCAGCCATAAATTCAGATTTTGGATGTTTCTCAAAACATCCAGACCATTCCGCCACCCGACTCACGCGGCTGCGACGAAGGGCTGGAAGTTAGCCAGGTTCGCATTGGACTGCCTCAAACGGAGTCCAATGGGCCGTTGCGCGGCTCAGTCGAAGCGAAAACATCTTTCGCTGAAAGAACCTGCCAAAATCTGCCAAATCGCCATGACGAAACCCATCCCTATGAAGTCCGTATCACAAAAAAACACTGCACGAGAGCAAAGGAGATCTGAGCCCTTTTTGGGACATATCCATGTCGACCAGAACCGCCGTGACATGTCCACATGGCGACACGAACCGGCGTCGCCTCCCATGCAGCACCAGGACCTGCAATCGACCCCGGACACGCGGCGCATCTTGCTGCACCAACTCCTGCAGAAATGTCTCAGAAAAGTCAGGAGCGAACCCTGACGGGGGGAAGTAGAGGAAGGTCTCCGAGTGGTTTATTTGACGTCTCTTTAGTCACTTTAGTAAACTTTAGTCCTCCTCCTTGCGTGAGGTGATTTTAAAAAATAGAAACGTGGACATTAGGATGCCTCTTTTTCCTGAGAACGTCCGTGCAATGGTTTTTGATAAAATATATAATCTCTGAAACATGATTTTTTCTCACATCTGACATCTTCCCCTTGTCCACTTCTCACATTTTCACATCTTCTCTGGAAACGATACGAAGAGATGAACCCTTTTGCGAAAATCGGGGTGTGCCCGAAACTGCGGCGTGTAGTGCGAATTGGTCCGGGCAGCATTCACAGCCCTTTGTGAACCTTGAAGTGCAGATTTTGTGGCAGGCGCTGCTACCACTACCACGCTACCACATTACCACACCACCACACTACCAACCACTACCACACCACCGCACTATACTACCACCACCACGCCACCAACCACTACCACACTACCACACTACCATACAAACAACTACCAACACCACCACCACACTCTGGGCGACCTTTTTTTCGGAAAATCTTTCCGACGCGTTTTGGGAATCTTTTCCGCATTGTTTGTGGTCAGGGGTTGCCACAAAGAGAAAAAGAAAGAGAACTAGCGCAGGAGGCAAGGGACAGAAGAGTAGAAGGAGAAGGAGAAAAAGGAAAAGGAGGAAAAGAGGAGGAAGAAGGAAAAAGAGAAGGAGAAGGAGAAGGAGACAGAGGAGAGAGGAGAAGGAAGAGAAGGAGAAGGCTCTTCCCGCTGCACTCTTGCAGATCACAATACAGTATACACCAGCCATGTGAGGATGGTAGCGCTTACCGGTAAGTCTTAAATATATAAATGTATGTCCATGCATGCAAATGTAAATCGATGCACGTGTGTGTATGTAAGTTTGTCTATGTAGGTATAGATGTATGTATGTATGTATGTATGTATCTATGTATGTATGTATGTATGTATGTATCTATGCGCTTGGTTGTTTTCTTGGCTGTCGTGATGCGCTGTAGTTATCGTTATGTATAAAAAGAGCAGGGGAGGGCACAAGGAAAACAACGTATATATTCAGCATCCCCGTGCTGAAGAACCAATCACCAAGAGTTGTTTGTGTCCAGATCCTTTTCTGTAAAGTGTTTGAGGGTCAAGTGCTTTGCAGGCCCGTCGCTTGCAAACTGGCTTGCTGGCTTTGTTTTGAGTGACCTGCTTAAATTTAAAAAAGCGGGAGGGGGTGCGGTGGAGGGCGCAGCGCCTCCCCCGCAAAAAACCAAGTATAGTGAGCATCCCAGCACTGACACATTGCTCCTTCCTCCCTTCCCTTCCTCCCTTCCTCCCTTCCTCCCTTCCTCCCTTCCTCCCTTCCTCCCTTCTTCCCTTTCTTGCTTGCTTGCTTGCTTCCTTCCTTGCTTCCTTGCTTCCTTGCTTCCTTGCTTCCTTGCTTCCTT